GAGTACCACAACACAAATAGGGAAGTCTCTCAAGAGTTATTTTTACTTCTTCAAAGGCAAGCATGGAAGTGTTTCATCTGTTTGATTATAAATCTGAACTGTGGAACTTCACTGGCATCAGCTGAATCTCTAGTTTGGACCAATTCAAGTATTTCATAAAAGATGCCTGATTGTTTTCTAATGGCTGAGTTACAACTCCAAGGTTGATCAAAAGCTTCTTTTCTAAATTGACCAGCTGTTTTCCAAAAATTTCCTAATAAAAGATTCCTATCATATTCTAGAATGTACTCTCCCACTTAAAAAGTACAACCATTAAAAAAGAAAAATAAGATATAGTAATGTCTTTACATAAAAAAAAAAAAAAAGTTGTTAAATCTATCAACAGGTCTTAATCAAAGGCTTTCAGTTTCTTAGGATCTTTCAGGATAGACAACAGAACATGCTTCACCTATATGGATTCAGGTGTTAGCAGTGTTTAAAGCAGATGAGCCCTTTCTTTTACCTTTCAACTTTGGCTTTAGTAGGCCCATTGTATGTCTGCAACCACATTTTGTGCTTCACAATTAGAGAATAAAAAGTTAGATGCATCTCTCAGCAAGTAAATCAAAGAACAAAAAGAGAAAGGAAGAAAAAATAAACCCTAAAACCCATGAGGGAACAAGAAGTACTCAAGTTCTTCAGTTCTTCCAACATTCTGCTGCCTTATATTACAGAATATAATGTAACAGCCAGGGAACCAACTGATAATGTTCCTAACCCAGGGTCTCTTGCCAGCAGCTTCCTGCAGGTGCAGGAAGAGATTGGTCAAAGGCTAATGCAGTCTATTCACTAATGTCGTGATTTCCTATACCTAATGCCATTGATCTCTGAGCGGTGAACATCACCTTTCCCCTGGGTGGCTTGTTGACCCAAGAGTCAGGGTTTTGTGGCTTCAATCTTAACTCTTCTGTTTGCGGTTCTCTGCTTAAACCACTGTTCTCTACAGCCTTTTGGATAACAAGCTGTGTGGTTTCCCATGGGTGTTGACACAGTCAAACTGGAATTTGGTTTTGCTTAGCTAATGTCAATTTGAAAAACTCCCAGTTAACGAGAGGTTAAAAGCCTCTGTTGGCTTTTAAGGTTGCTGTTTAGATACAGACTCTCTGTATTTGAGCCTTTCTCATAGCATAAGAGCACTAGATAACTCAGGTTCGAAGATGCCTCAGGGGGCCCTTATCTCTCAAATAAGGAACATCTTTTGTGGGGCTTTTTGGAACTGATTTGGCTTTCTATGCGTGAAAAGAAGACATCACAAGTTTATGGAAACTTTGATGCCAAATCATTAAAAGTAATAGGGCAAAAGCACTAACCAAATCCAAAAGTTAAGTTAAAAATAGGCATAAATAGGTTATGATTATGAAGATTAATAGTATTTGTATTATTGATCTTCTTGCCCACAAAATAGGAATGAGGACAGAATCATATATCTTTGTTGCAAAAGTTTCATATAGATAGAGAAAAATTACTTCACAGCTTCTCAGACTGCAAGCCATTTGAAATATAAAAATAACTGTACTACTTGTAAGATTCATAGTCCCATGTAGATCAATTCTTCCACGAGTGGTACGTGTGGAAGGTTATAGTCTAAGTCATGGCACATCAAGACCTCAATGTTTCAGAAGTCTGGTGTTCAAGTATAGTGCAATGCTTTGAAAACTTAGGAGTAAAAGTTGAGACGTTGGTAATGAGTTACTCTTATCTGCTTTATAAAATGTATTGCATCCTGCTTTCAGGTGGGTGAATGTACTTAAATAAATTACACTTCACGTTGCTTGAAAGTAATGAATGCTAATGACAGATAATGGTGTCTTGTTTCCAATTAGTACTGCCAAGAGAGCCTGAGGTTTCTAGAGCTCATGATCACCATATTTTCCAGGAACAGACTGAGAACTTTAAAATTATATAAACAAGTTTTATTTATGCTGAATGCATTTGCTGATTGTTTCCTTTCAGTTTGGCATAATGCAAAAGAACTACATCTCTCTGAAGTTCAATAACTAAATAAAAGGCCTTATGTATGTAAAACCATATTCTAGCACTCATTTTTTATAAAATTAACTCATTGTTCACTTTGATAAAAAACAGAGGAAAATGTTTGCAAATAAATGCATGTAATAGATTATAGTGAATATTCAGAAAGGTTTAAAATAGAGCAGTCTAATGGATAAGCAGTCTGGCTCACAAAATGTGAGTTTAAATCAGGCATTTCATACTAAGAAATATTGTGCTCACAGACATCAAATATGCAGTATATAACAAATCACTTCCTTTCTACAGTTGCAATACAGCTTGTTTCTTATTTTAATGGTTTCTGTATTAACTTTGTATTCTGTTTATAATGTATTTCAGTTTGAAATGTTCACTGTGCAGGAATTTTATCTCACATCCATACTGTCTGTATGACTGTGTGTTTTTTTCTCTAATAAAAACGTACAACAACTATAATGTAGCAGTGAATTTTTATCTGCTCTTGCAAGTCTTGCGTTTTGCTGGATGTTACATAGATGGTAATAGCTCAAGGCCCTACTCAGTGACCACTGAAAGCGGGACTGCTGTTGATAAATTAGTGGCCTTCACACTGGGTCCCCAAAGCACTCCTTTTAGAGCCGACCTTTGAATGCAGCCTGTTTGTTTTGTAAAATATATCAGGGAGAAATATTAGTGTCTTACCGGCTGATGGAAGATTCTGGGGTTCCCTCTCCTGTACTCCACTCACTAGTCAACACCCTCCTCTACCCAGAAAAGCAGGCACTATGCCAAAATGCTGCTGCTTAAATTGTATTACACGAGATTTTTCATACGGCTGTCTGCCAGATCTGGGCGGTATGTCATCTGTCTGTTCTGAACATTTCAAGTAATTTCTTAGGTCTAAACGATGAGCTCTGCAGATATGACTAGATACATGGTTGAACCCTGATGCTGCCAGTGCTCTAATTCACTTTACATAATCCTGTAATTTTATTTAACTGGCTACTAGAATCATGGCTAAACAGTACAGAAAGCTTAGTATGTTCAACAATAAAAGATGTATTCCTGCTTGTTTCTTGCACCACTTCAGTGGGAGGGTGTATATATTTAAATAATTACTTTTCAAGCAGCTGGATGGCTCCCATTATCCTGGAAGGTAATGCTCTGCATTGATTATGTCCTACAGAGCTTGGCTGGCATGGGAAAAATCTTTAGAAGTATTAACTTCATTTTCATTCATGTCACTCATACGTCCACTTTCTACAACTGCTTTAGCAAATGAATTTCATCTGTCTGAGATACTGACGTCAGTGTACTATCCACTCACATGAGTGACTTCTGGCTAAATTACTAAATTAATGCACAACGATTATAGTTGCATTTTCAGTTAAAAAAAAAAAAAAACCAAACAGATATTTGTAGCTGAAAACTACGAAAGCTGTGCCTAGCCAGTCAGGGGATGACATGTCCCAGATGAAAACAGCTTGACTGTCAGTTATCAGATACAGGCAATCAGTGCTCTCCAGTGAGATACAGCACATGAATTATTCTCAGAAATTATTCCAAGAATAGTAATGGATAGCTATTAAGTTCAAGAAATTAAAAATCTCATTACAGGCAATTTGTGAACAAAGAAGTCAAAGTTAGTTTAAGAAAATAATTGTCACAGATTACTTGTTTATCTCTATTGTATTTGTGAAATATTTTTACTTACACTCCACTGTCAACTAAGCTTCTCTATCAAGTGTAAACTAATATTTTTTAAATGATAATCCAATATGGAAAATTGCCTGAGCAAAAATGTTATAAATAATGCAGTGCTGAGCTGATTGCCTGCTTCTGTTCATTTTGCAAGAGTCTATCTCACACAGTGTCCAAGGAAAAAGAAGCAAAAGTGACAACAACATAAAATTAACAACAGGGAAAGTGTTACATTTTCTGTTTGGTTCAATGCAGATGGAAGAAATAAAATACAGTAGAATTCATGGAGTTTGTAAGTTTTTCTGGGCAGAGAATGATTCTTGTTATGTCTGCCTGGTACTTGATAACAGCAGTAGTTTGATCTTGAATTTGGTACCAGGTACCAAATCCACAGTGCAAACTGTAAATAGCAATAGCAGTCAAGCAAAAGTGTGAATAATTCCATTTGCATTTATTTATGTCTTAGAGGTCACATTTTCCGGGAGTCCGCTCTAGGTAATAGCTGGGGATTGCTGATTATCAGGATGTAACAATGATCTGAAGTAGTTTGGTAACATGTTAATATCACCATACAATATCATAACATAATTTTTGTTAATTAACCGAAGCAGTGAAAAAGTGGGTTTGAGCTTCTGAGTCTGATTTTCCACGCCTTGACCCTCGCTACTTTCAGTATGCATTTTATTGATTACTATATAAAATTTTCCATGTGTGTCCCATAACTGCATAAGGAAGAAGGCTGTGGAGAATCAGGTTTCTCTCTACGAGCAGTGGAAACATACTTTCTTCTTCAGGAGCAAAGCTGAAAATCTGTCTGGTTTTGGTAAAGATAAGTAGTTTACAGGTTTCACACAATATAATACAGTCAGTTTTGGGGAAAACAAACTATGCTGAGCTTGTTACTGCAGAAATGTTTGGAATTACAGGTAAATGAGATTAACACCTCTTTTGGCAGTTTAACAATAATGAATGATAAAGTGGATGGTCTTTTTTCAGACCTTATTTTGGCAAATAGAATTTCTGTCGGTGTTTGTCACATCCCTTAGGTTTACATATTTAGGACCAAATTTTTTTTATGCTCCGTAGGTAAGAAATGTGATGTGCTGTGTAATAGCTGTTATTGTCATTGATACATTCTCCTTCATATTTTTTAAATTCTCACTATCCCTGTCACTAGCTGGACTATGCTATCATGTAAAGGTGTTAAAATACTTTTCATTTTCTGTGCTCTGTTTTTATTTTGAGTTGGTTACCTATGATAATAGTGACATGGCTATCTGAATCTGTTACAGCGTGCCTGAATATTACGACTACGGTCATGGAACAAGCGAAGAGGCTTATGACAGCTACGGTAAGGTCTATTCTATCTTCAGCAAAAGTGTGAAATTGAAAGAAAAAGTCTGTCACTGACAACTCAGAAATTACTTCCACGTACTTTTCATTCTTTCTCTGCTTTTGCAAAGACCAAACAAAATGGATTTGTGTAACTTTAGGGTGAGGTTTGACTTATTGAAGTAGGACCAGAAAATTGGACGGATCAATTTTGATCAAAATTACAAAGCCATTTAATCACAGTCACAGATCAGTTTAGCAGCAACACTGAAGTTTCTGATTGGTGTCTGAATATATTTCACAGTGTTAAGTTTCAGTCTGCCTGATGTGCCAACAGTACTATGCATCTGCTACTGCCATATGCATCACTTCAACCAGCAAGTTTTTCTGAGATTTTGAAATGTAGACTTAAGCGAAGTGGACGGAGAGGGTGCTGTACCACCATGGGAACCCCCACTGCACCAAGATAAAGGAGTATTTTCTCAGCTTGTTGTTTGATATTAGTGATGTGTTTCAATAACTAGTTAGAAACTAGCCCGTCTTTTCCTATCAATATTTTTTTTTTGTACATTGTACCGTCAGTTGGCACAGTGAATCTCACTCTGACATTTTCACTGAGATAATAGAGCAAAGCTGGCTATCATCAGCTTAAAGTCTGACCCTAGTATATTCAGCAGAGATGCCATGCTTGATTTACTACTAATAGTAAAGTATAGTAAGTTTACGTGGTGATTTCCAAAGCATTGTGAAAATGAGAGCTGCTGGAAATGACGCTGCAAGTAGAAGTTGCTGTAAGGGATTATATAAGGATTGCTGCTTGAAAGAAATAATTTTATTCATGCAGCTGTGAAGCAAATGTCACTGTACTGCAAAGTTGCAGTTTCCTTCATATTTGTACAGAAATCACGAGACATTATTGAGACATGGTCAAAATGATTGCATTGCATAATCAGAAATAACTTAATCTTTTTGTGTAATCAGTACTCACAATACATTTGGATAATACAATATGCAGTCAAGCACATTTTCAGTGCCAAACAAGTAATAATAATAACCTACCCACACGAATGTGTGTGGTTCAGTTACCCTTTGTTTTGTTTCCTTTTCCAGAGGTGTGGAATAGTTTTACCAGTAGCCTGGAATAAAATTTAAAATCAAATAATATTCCAAATTGTGATTTTCCTACTTTCTGAAATCAGGCACGTTTATATGTGAATGCTTGTGCTCCTGTTGGTTCACTTCAGCAGATTAATACATTTGCTAGTTCCGTGCTCCGGAAACTTGTGCATGAACTTCCTTTATCCCAAAGTCACCATCATTTATCTGAGGAGGTAGTCTGAGTATACAGAGCTATAGACTATATGCTTAACTTCCTCACATTCTGAGTTCTTGGCACATATACTGATGTTCTCTCTCACCAGTGCGCAGTCTGGTGCCACCCTTTCTCATCCTCATGTAACTTTTATCCTAATTCTCTGTTCCCAGAGAACTGTTCCCAGTTCTCTACTTCCTTTTCAGAATGTTTTGCAAATCATTACGAATCTTAAGAATCCATCCCACTGTATAAAATCAGCTGTCCCTTCATTTTTCACCATCCTGCAGAAATCAGCACAGGCTTTTTTTCACCCCAGTTCAGTTTTACCCCTTGTTCTACCTTCCACACCAAGGCTATATTCCTCCTTTACAATTCTTTCTGGCACACTTCTGTAATTCACAATTCCCCCAAACTCTGAATAAGACCACACACAAAGGGTACATGAACACAGAACTGGTGTCTTGTGGCTGTTTTCTCTTAGATGTTTTGTGTAACAACTTGTCTTTTCACCCTTATCCCTTCTAGTATCTGAATTATCAAAAATTTACTAGCTTGGCATTTCTTTATTTTGTCCCATGCATCCTCTTGCTTCCAACTTATCTTTAGGGAGGGCTGTTCTCAATCCCAAGAAGGTTTTCTTTTATTATTTTTCATGAAGTAGATTCAACCAATCACAATGCTACTTCATACTTGTGTTTCGTTCTAAAGTATAATATAGATCTCTCCGTAGTTTGTTAAATATCATACAGCACCATAGTACTCCTATATGAGCTGCCTGCTATGACTTTTATATCTACCTGGGATCCTGAGAAGTAGAAGGTGTTTTTTGTCTCATGAGTTCTTCTATGCTCCTTTTAAAAGAGCTTCTGGAGAAGTCTGACTGGGGTCACTGTTTCCTCAGAAGTTCTTAAGGTTTATGCATCTGTGGATTGTTCATGGTAGGGTTGCAAAAATCACAGGGGTATTTCAGAGCAGAGCCCACCTGAACACCACATCATTCTCAGGAAGTTCATCTCTCTTTTGATTAGATGGAAGTACTAAACAAGAAAGGGCCTAACTTGCTTATCTGAGGCTGGGCAGGATGAATTCTTACACACCATTCACCTATGTAAAATCCACAACTTCAGTGAACTGCCTTGAATCCGTGTTCAATTTCTGGTGTGAAGGTTCCTGAGAATTCAGTCCCCTCAAATCCAGCCAAGGAACCCCCCAAGACAATAGCAAAACATCAGGTGAGAGGGGGTATATGTAAAATCCCACTATCTCCCATGACTTAGGGATGTTTCCATGAATGAAAGTTCATAGCACAGAACCCACTCATGCAGTTAGACACTTAAACTCTATTGTGTTTTCATATGCTTGCCACCCAGTCTCTCAGAAGGATCAAAGCACCCCCTGCAGCAGCCTCTGGGCACCTGGAAATACTCTAATAAGGAATTATGAGATTCCCACAAATTTTTGATAGGATCAGGATTAGGCAGCTACTGCTAGAGAATTTTGAAGATCACTGTTCTGTTCTGAGGAACATAAATTTGGGACATACGCCCAAAAATCTTGTGGATGTAGCCCTTATAGGCTTCATCAGGTGAGTGATAAAGAAATATCTTTAGTAGGCACTTTAAAACTAAATGGCCAGTCGCTTGAAGTACTGTACAATTTTAAAAAATGTAAAGCATCCTCACCTCTCATCACACACAGTAAACATTTGTGATACTTATGTCACTGAAGGCCTTGATATCTGCAGATATGAATTTAAATCTAGGAGTCTAAACTAAGGTGACAGCGTCATTTTATCTTGATGATGATGCTTATGTTTTAAAACAGAAGACATGAAATAGGATTATTTTATGAACAAAAAGTTTATATCCATTGCTGTCATTATACTTCAGTAATTTTGTCGTTTCCTTTCTGGCACTGTTGTCATCTGAAGAGGTATCTAGTGAAAACATGAATTTAATGATTTGTCTTATGAATGGGATTAATTGTACAACTAAAAATGTGCTAACTAAGAATCTTTCCTGCCCATATGTAATGCCATGCCCAAGTTCAAAAAACACCTTCACTGGACAGGACCACGGTAAAGGAAAAGCCCTTTGTAAACTGTTCACTTGGAAAATGAAAATTAAATTAAAATAAAAAACTTAATTTCTTTCCCCTTTTCCCTGTTTTTTAGTGGAACTGGCATTCTCGATACAAGTGTTGTGCAGTGTTAGGCCACTTTAGAAAGATAACAGAGATAGTATGACTTGCTAGCAAGGCACATCCAATACCTTATAAGCTATATTAATTATATCTGACCTGCCTCACATTTGTTTCATCTGAATCTCTTTTCTCCCTTGCACTGATCAGAGTACTCAAGGTTTTATTTATCAGATACTGTTTCTGTCTTAGTCCTTCCAAAGGCCGGGACTCTAGCAGATGAGCTCTGCCAATTTCTACTGCAGAAGGTTGAAGAGGCTCCTGCCTCCACTTCCAAAGGTTGAAACTGCCATAGCAAGGATGGAGGAAAGTAAAAGTGTGCCTGTAGTCAGGTGCTATAGTTCACAGCTTGGTGCATATACTGCCTTGTGTATTACCTGAAAATTATGGTCATCTATGTTTTTATGCCAGGTCATGAACTGCAGTATCTGAGAGGCCAATAGACATGGACTTCTGCTGCTACTACCAAAAAAGCAGAAACGTTAGGTAGAGGGTGAAAGAAGATGGTTAAAGTCTATAACCTCCTAAACCACCACAATGAAATTAGAATAACAGTGTCTGCCAAAGGCCTTAGGCAAGAGTTAGGAAGGTTAATCTGTACCTTGTCTCCCACACAAAGAGGGAAGACATAAGTGAACTCCACTCACACTCCTGATGCTATTCAGGAAAAGCTTGCAAGGCTGTTTACTGCATGTGCTGCCACTTTTATTCATTATTCAAATGTGTTCCATCGTCACCAAAAATTTTCAAATGTGCACATTTTCTCTAATTACCACATTTTGTAGTGCATATTCTACTCCAGTTTAGCATTAAGTCCTCACTTGTAAACAACTGGTATTTGGGTTTAGGATAATTCCATCTTTAATTAAAAATGGAGAGTGTAACTGCTTGGTATAATTCCTTTTAATGTAAGACATCATTTAAGTTGTAAAATGCTGTCACAATGATTTAACTGACTATTTCACAAATAATTCCCTGTTAATCACCCAATATGAGAGCTTTGCAGTTGTGATGACAATTAGTTTCCTAAGCAATGGTCTACAGAGACAGCACTTTATAAACAAATTCTTTATAGGCCTTTATAGGGCTAACAACTAAAAATGTACAGCAATGTTCCACTACTTTTTTATTATCTCGTTTATTTTTTAATTTTGTGTTTGTCTCAAAGAGTGTATTATCTAGTAATTCTTTTTTTAGAATAAAAATTATAGTCTCTGCTGAACAAGTAAAAGTAAAACTAAATATATAATGATGAAATATGGGGAGGAAGGAGTGTATGGAGGGCTCAAACTTCAGGAATTCTGATAAATAGGTTGATTGAAGAGTTGTTACCTTAGGAGACATAAATTCTCATACTTTATTATGAGACATAAGCATGCTCATTTCATAGAGAAACTCAAGTAACCACCATCCTAGTGTGAAACAAACCCTGTATTGATTAATCTAGGGCAGTGACAATGCCAGATGAAGCCATGCTGCAATGTATACAGAAAAATATTTGTAAA